GGAGGGACAAATATTGTGCGGACATGTGGACAGTGCTATTCTATGCTAATTACTAAGAGAATAAGTTGATTAGTAATATGAATACGTTCAACCTAACACAACTATCGTCATTTTTATGCATTCTCACTAATTATTATTCATTTTTGTTCTCACGCATCGTTTTTCACTCATTTTCATTCTTACAGAATACAATTCAATAAACATTCTGACAAAATGACAATCATAAAAAAAAGTATATAATAACCTTATATACGATTTAATTAGTGAAAATATGTGATAATGACAATAATTATATAAGATTGAACGTATTCACATTATCAAACAACATATTTTCTTTGTCATTTTCACAGAATAACACTATTCACACGTCCGTACAGTAGATGTCAATCCACATTTGAACCTAGCTCTCTCTCTCTCTCTCTCTCTCTATATATATATATATATATATATATATATATATATATATATATATATATGCACACACACACACGCCCTTAGGATATATATTATAAATATCCCCAAACAAAATATATGGAAATATACGGGGATAAAGAGTAGTTAATTCGAAGTTCGTTTTCTTATTGGGAAAATACCGGCTATAGACATTTTTTGGGGTTGAATTCCAAAATATAGACACAAAAAATTGGATTCCGAGTATAAACATTGATTCCGCGGAGGTAGCTCCGAGGAGCTCCGCAGAATCTACTGTAGCTCCGCGGAATGACAAAATTGTAAATAAATCAGGGTATTAAAAAAAAACTCAAGATCCATTCCGCGGAGCTACCTCCGAGGAATGAGCTCATTTCACAGAGGTAGCTCCGAGGAATGGACCTTCAGATTTTTTTTTCACATCGATTATTCGGGGTTTATATTCATTCCCAAACTAATTATTTTCAAGAAAAGATTATGATAGTATGAATTTTTCTGGACAATGTTTGGAATGAATGTGAGGTGGAAAAAATTGATATTTTAAATAAAAGAATCATTGGAGGTGATTTTTTTTTTGAAGATCCATATCCGCGGAGCTACCTCCGATGAATGAACTCATTCCGCGGAGGTAGCTCCGATGAATGGATCTTGAGTTTTTTTTTAATACCCTAATTTATTTACGATTTTGCTATTCCGCGGAGCTACAATGGATTCCGCGGAGCTCTTCGGATATCATTATCACCAATCAGGTTAATTTTTTATGTCTATATTTTGAAATTAAACCCTAAAAATGTCTATACCCCGTGTTTTCTTATTATTCTCCTAGATATCATTATCACCAATCAGGTTAAAGACAATCCCGAATTAATAGGCTCGGAAAGTTCCCAGACCTCAAGCTCATGATCAGGTTCGGTAGACAATCTTCTGTTTATGACCCACCTACGCAGCTAGTCTCACACATTCTTTGCGTTACTGAATACTCCAGAGCGATTCATCATCAATCTGTTTCAAAACCAAAGATTTTAGGTTCAAGATTTGGGTTTTTCAGATTTCAATCGACTGAGCGAACATGTCAGATCACGAGGATCATAAGGCGGAATCGTTGATGGAGAAGATATCGGACAAGATACACGGTAAGGATGATTCTTCTTCGTCTTCAGATTCAGACGACGACAACAAGATTTCAGCGATGAAATCGAAGGTTTTTCGCATGTTCGGTAGGGAAAAGCCCGTCCACAATGTCTTCGGCGGCGGAAAGCGTATGTTATCGTTATTACTTGCACTTTATTTTTACTGGATTTATATTATTCTTAAACCCTAACTTGCTTTAGTTACTTCTTTAATAATCCTTTCTCCCTAAATTACTACTTCGGCTATCGTTTGAGAATTCGTCGAATGATTCATCAGTCTTATATACGCGAGTAACATAATTTACTGATCCACAATCCTAGATGATAATCAGCTATGTTCTCTAATTAATGGTTTGAGTTAATTATTGTGAGAATCGTCTCTTTTATCATTTACTTCGGCCATAAGGAAATACGTATTCGTCCAATTACAATATCAAGACCTGTTGATCTTGATATACAAGGTAGTTCATGTACGAACTTGATCGGATCCACTTTTCTGCATCTGGATCTAGACCTACATATTGTTATACCTCTAATAAATCTTCGTTTCTTAATCAAAACTATTTCCTCTATGGTTGTCTAAAGTTAAAGCAAAAGGTGTATCTTTTTCTTTAATCATCAATCCACGCTGTTAAGGAAGCTCTTTTCCAGTTAATATGTTACCTTTTTGCTTCATAAAGGTTGCTCACATTCTAATTATCTTTTCTTAAGTGTTAATAATTAATATCAATAAAGCCAAAGGTGGTTTCTTCTTGGGTTGAAAAAGTAAAAGTTTCTACTTGTATGCAATAATATAATACCTCCAATGTGAAACATGCTTGATTCCATTGCTGAAACAATCAATGGAGGTCTTATCTGTTGTTCATCATCTAACTTTTTACTATCTGTAAAGCTGCCGATGTGCTCCTATGGAAGGACAAGAAGGTATCTGGTGGAATCCTTGGTGGAGTTTCAATCATCTGGTTCCTTTTTGAAGTGCTGGAATATCATCTGCTGACTCTTGTTTGCCACAGTCTGATTCTTACATTGGCAATACTATTCCTATGGTCAAATGCCTCAGCCTTCATCAACAAGTAAGTGTTCTTATTTTACCAATTGTCTCACCAATTTGATACACTCATTCATGAGTTGTTGTTTTATACAGATCTCCACCAAAAATCCCACAAGTTGTGATTCCGGAGAAACCCGTTTTGGAAATTGTGTCAACCCTGAGAATTGAGTTAAACAAAGGTTTTGCAGCTATTAGAGATATCGCTTCAGGGAAAGACCTCAAAAAGTTTCTATCTGTAAGTTTTTTTTTTTTTTTTTTTTTTTTGCTTCAATCTTTAATTTTCAATTTTATACAAAAGTCTTGGTTTTCTTATTATCATTGTTGTTTAATCAGGTTATTGCTGGTTTGTGGTTTGTGTCAATCATCAGCAACTGCTATAACTTCTTGACATTGGTTTACATATGTAATTTCCTAACACCAAACAACTATTCCATGTCCATTAACAACTTTCAATAATGAAATTCTGATTTATTTATTTATTTTGAAAAAAATATATATATATTGCAGTGGTTGTGTTGCTGTTCACGGTGCCTGTGGTGTATGATAAATATGAGGATAAGATCGATCCGCATGCAGAGAAAGCATTGATTGAAATCAAGAAACAGTATGCGGTTTTCGATGCAAAAGTGTTGTGTAAGATCCCAAGATCCATGAAAGAGCTTAAAGCTAAGAAAAAGGTTTAAGAATATGCAACTTTGTTACTGGTTAGGTGTGTCTTATATATCTAAATCTTAAAAATGGTTGATTATTGTGTTTTTCTTGATGATTTGGGGTTTGTGAGGTTGGTAATAGAGATTGATTGATACGTAAAACCCTCCTCCCCAATATAATTTCTTGTGTTTTTAGAGTTGTGGTGATGTCTTTGTGTTTTTTTTTTAATATATACATGGTGTTACAGTTTTTGTTGATGTGGCACTTTGTCTTGAAACTAATATATGATGTAGTATGTTTGTCTTTGTGAGAACACAATTTTGGTGGTGTGTGGTCATTTCTTGCATGATGTGTATTAAATGTTGTCGACTACATTAGTGGGGCCTAAAGTTGTCTATTGATTTATTCTGATTTTGATTCAGTAAATGTCACCATCAAATTATGGAATCCGTGTTTTTTAGCTATCATTATAAAACAAGTAAATGTTAAATAACCTAACAACTTGATTTCGATCACTTAAGTGAGAGTTGCAAATTGTTAGAACAGAGCGGAAAAACATGATCGGTTTCAAATTACTGGATTTTTTTTAATAATTGATGGTCTGAGTTCACTTCTTGTTGTTAGGGAGGAGGGAGTCATTCCCTCTCAACCCACTGCCATATTACTTTTTCTCTTTTGTTTTTCTTCATCTTTCCGAACCCACAACACACGGAAATCCTATCTTTTTGAACCCACTCAATTAAAAAAAA